GCTATTATTATCATTTGAGCTGAGCTTACTGAATTGTAGATATTTGCGCTTTTCTTCTCCCCCCTGATGCTGATTTTGCTTATTGGGTCACCCATTGATGATAGAAAAGCGATAAAGCATATACGCGTACGCTTAGTTCTACAAGGAGCACCACAGAGAATGAGTGTCCACACCCCCTTTTTGCCGCAATCTCAGTATTGGAAAGAACACCAGCTTGTCCCGCTGGGTTTGGCAGCTGGGGGAGTTGTGAGCTTGGGAATTGCATCGGTGGGTTTTGCGTGGTGGTACGGTGCGGACTATTTTCATCACCAGGGGGCCTATGACCGTAATTGGGTGGGTTACGACGTATTCACATTCGTTGGCCTGCTACTATTCACCGTGTGTTCCTCTTCCGGTGTGACGCTGCTATATGTGGGTGTGAGCGCCCTGTTGCACGCATGGCACAACTCACTGGGGCTAGTTGCTTTCGGTGCCGTAGGCAGCGCTTTCACTGCTGTTGGATGCCTGGGAATGATCTGGGGAAAGGAAACGATGCAGTGCCTGGGTGTTTTCTGCGTTGGCACGAAGAATTACGTTGAGGTGCCTGGATTGAGACCGGAGGCCGGCATTGGTTTCCTTTCCGTCGTTGGCATTACGGTGTTCTTTTCGCTTGCACCGATGGGTCTCACGATGTTGCTGCAGGTGGCTCTAAGGGTGACCGGCGTAGATCGCCGTTGGCTTGCGCCAGGACTCCAGCAACTAGGCATGAACCGAGTGCGTGTTGTTCCTCTCGCCGCATCCGCTTTGGTTCTCGTTTTGTGTTGGGTGTTGATTACGTTTTACGTCCCCAACTCGTGGGAGTATTTTTCGGCGAGCAGGATTGCGAAAAACGCGCAGCTGCGCGCCACAACAAACTACACGCTGTGTCAAACGGCGTGGGACCAGTTCACGTGCCCGGAGCTTCCGTGGTCGTGGGTTTTCACGCGTAACTGGGTGTGGAGCAACATGTTGGTGCTGAAGATGTATCCGAGCAACATGTTTTTCTTTGCGTACTTTTTGATCCTGTTGCTGATGGTCACCGCTATTCGTGTGAGCCGCAGCGGGCGCATGTTCCTGAAGCGACGGCTCCCTCTTTTGTGGGACTTTACCTGGGGTGAGGCGGGTTTTGCACTTTTGACGGTGACGATGTTGCTTCTGTTTTTCCTGTACTGGATACAGTGCCACAATTTTAAAATGCTCTTTGCTGGAGGGAATGATGCAGGTATGGAGGCCGTGCAGCGGTGGGCTCGTTCGTTTGGCCAGCTGGCGGTTGCGTTGTTGTCGCTGTTAATTTTTCCGTCAACTCGGTTTTCCTTGCTGCACTCCATTTTTGGGACCTCGTGGGAGTCTTCGCTTTGGGTCCACAAGGTGCTGGGGTACGGGATGCTGCTTGCGACGGTTGCCCACATGCTTGCCTGGTATGTCTTTTATGGGCAGATGGGGAAACTTCCACGTGCTATATTTTCTATTCCGCCGATGGACCCCCCCCTCCATGTTGACAACTTCACTGTTCCATTGGTTTCGCTGACGACGTGGTTTATGCTTGTGGCCATGGGTGTTTTTGCGCTGGAGCCGGTGCGACGCAGGTTCTTTGAGCTGTTTTACTACCTGCATGTTTTGTCGTTCTACATGATTGTTCCTACGGTGCTGTGGCATGCTGCCGCGGCGTGGGAATACCTCCTGCCTGGGCTGACGGTGTGGTTTGTGGACCGGCTGCTGCGGCTGCACCGGAGTGCGTCGAGGGTGGAAGTGGTGTCTGCCGTTGCGAACGGCTCGTTTGTGGAGCTGAGCTTCCGTCACGTGACGCTGCGAGCGGCGCCTGGGCAGTACGCCTTTGTGAATATTCCTGAACTATCTCTATTACAGTGGCACCCGTTCAGCCTAAGCAGTGCTAGGGAGGGGTGCTACACGCTTCACATCAAGTCTGCAGGTGAAGACAGCTGGACGGGGCGGTTGGTGAAGTTGGTGGGCGAGTGCGGCAGGGGCTTCTCACTGAGTGTTGACGGGCCGTGTGGACGCGTCCAGGAGTTCGACGACTACCGTGCCGTTGTGCTTGTTGCCGGAGGCATTGGCGTGACACCGTGCGCCGCAATCTACACCCACCTGCGTCGGCAGAGCGCAGAGGCTGGTTGGGCCCCTGCCGTAACACTGCTGTGGTCTGTTCGTGACGCCGCTCTAGTGTCCATGATGTCGCACCTGTGGAGTGACGGCGAGGAAAGTTATTTGGTGAATGCTGACCTGTTGGAGTCTGATGTTGTCTCGCATTCAGCGAGCTCTGCCAGCGAAGTGCCTCCGTTACGACTGTTTGTGACGGGGGGCTTCGAGTGCAGCAGTGTTTCCCAAAGGGATGTTGCTGTGTCGACAGGGCGACTCGACGCCGCAGCGGAGATTTCCCGCGTCATTGGCGACGCGGATCCCCGCTCAGTGTTGGTGTTTGCGTGTGGTCCGGCTGGTCTGGTGAGAAGCGCGAGGGACGCCGCCCTTTCGCTTGGTGCAAGTTTCCACGATGAGAAGTTCTCACTGTAGAAGTGTAGGTGTATCAGGGGAAAGAAAGTGGAATGTTTTTTTTTATTTTTTTTTTTGACTCTGCTCCCGGCCATTGGTGCAATGTTCGGGGCAACCCCAATGGGGAGGATGGGTCCAACTTCGACAACTGTTACTAGCAACTATAGCACAATAATAACGCTTAGGAAAAATGCCTCCCAACTGCAATGATCGCCAAGGTGGATCTGTGTGTGTGTGTGTATCTTCTGCGTGGCGGGCGTCGTTCTGTTGGGGTCTCGCAATGTGGGGGTGCAAGGGAGGACGCGTCACGGGGGTGACACGTTTGTTTGCTACTACGACCCCGAAAAAGGAAAGGAGTGGAGACGATTGATGGGGCCTGTGTTTTTTGCGAGTGACTCCGACGCCATCGCCTCTCTGAGGTTCTGGGAGTGTAATCGTAGTCTCTGGGGGGGGGAGGGCTATTATTATCATTTGAGCTGAGCTTACTGAATTGTAGATATTTACGCTTTTCTTCTCCCCCCTGATGCTGATTTTGCTTATTGGGTCACCCATTGATGATAGAAAAGCGATAAAGCATATACGCGTACGCTTAGTTCTACAAGGAGCACCACAGAGAATGAGTGTCCACACCCCCTTTTTGCCGCAATCTCAGTATTGGAAAGAACACCAGCTTGTCCCGCTGGGTTTGGCAGCTGGGGGAGTTGTGAGCTTGGGAATTGCATCGGTGGGTTTTGCGTGGTGGTACGGTGCGGACTATTTTCATCACCAGGGGGCCTATGACCGTAATTGGGTGGGTTACGACGTATTCACATTCGTTGGCCTGCTACTATTCACCGTGTGTTCCTCTTCCGGTGTGACGCTGCTATATGTG